ATTTGGTAGCTAGGTAACTAGCTCATTCAATCTTAGGACTTTACTACACCGAGTACTTAGGTCACTGGCTGAAAAGTACTTGCTCCATTCAATTTCATGTCTTTAGTGTGAGTTTCTCTCTTCCCTCGTAATCCCATTTTTCTACCATAAGACAAGAAGATGAGAATGCCGTAGATAGCTGCAAAAAACAGAGAATTGTGAGCAAAGAATCGTAAAGAAAACATAGAGATGCAATGGAAAGTAAAAACTAAAGTGACCTTTTAATGATAAGCAACCAATATTTCCATCTTAAAGGAAGAACTATATTTTAATTAAACGAACAAAGAGACAACTGACATAACAAACATTATGACATTTTAGCGACCAGATTGAGATTCAGATAATTTACTGAAAGGTAATCGGGGCTGACGTATGGTGCAAAAGTTATTACTATGCTCTTGCTAGATTGTTAGGTAACTCTGTAAATAAATGTTGAATCACATGATTTTCCTTACTAACAATTATATTTTTCTAAATCCTTTTATTAACTTTTTGAGCAATTTCAGAAACTTGTACGTTGGCCACGATACAGATATTCCTTTACAATTAGACTGCATTCCATTTTGAAGGTTAATTTCATGAAAATGGATTCAATTTTATTTGCCATAAAAATTGCTCGAATAAAATCCATGTTAATTTGCAGCAATCGACCTTGTCAAGAGCAAAAAAGTGCAAGTGATAATTGCAGCATTGACATTGCAAGAAGCAACTTTTGTTTCAGAACTCGAAGAAGTCAGCAACACACCAATCATTACTATTGGCTCGGCAACCATTTCTCCATTACTTCTATTTCCACAAGTAGCATCCATTTTCCATCTGAATGATGATGTTGCCGTACAAATGCAATGCTCTGCAGCAATTGTTGGCCATTTTAGGTGGCAAAAAGTGACAGTCATATATGAACAAAGCGACAGCTTTTAGTGAGATTCTAGACTCACAACACAACTTTCTGAGGCACTAAAATCCTTCAATTGTGGGGTCGAATATGATATAGCTTCCCCTTCCATATCTTCCCTCCAGAATCCTGAAGCTGTTATTGAAGAAGAGATGAATAAACTTAGAAGCAAAAGCAGTTGGATTTTTGTACTTATGCAGTCTTCTTCGGAGTTTGCTAAAATTCTTTTCGGTAAGGCAGTGAAATTGGGAATGATGGAAAAAGGTTATGCATGGATTCTGTACGATGATATTGTTAGCCTTCTTGATTCTGTTGAACCCTCTGTCATACAGAATATGAAAGGGATCACTGGATTCAAGACAAATTACATGGGTCATGGCAAGTCTTTTCTAAAGTTCAAATGCAGGTTTCGAAGAAAGTTCAGTTTCACATATGCTGAAGAAGAAGAATATCCCAATCCAAGCACCTATGCTTTTTGGGCCTATGATGCTGCTTGGGCAATTGCAAAAGCCATGCAAAATTCAGAAGGAAGAATGAACGCAAGTGAACTGATAAATCATACGGCTTCAAGTGATTTTGAAGCTCTTAGTGGAAGAATCAGCTTGAAAAAAGGGAAAGTTATTGCAAAAAATGACCTTTCAGATCATCAATGTCATTGGAAAAAGTTACAGAGAAATAGCATTATGGTCACCAGATCATGGTTTCTTAAGCTACTTCGAAGATCAGAAGGGGAACGAGACTAGAAAAAAATACCAACACAGCTAAGATATTAAGTTCAATTTACTGGCCAGGAGTTGAGCAACCAGTTCCGAGAGGCTGGAAACTAAGAATTGGTGTTCCTGCTAGGGAGCTTGTCATCAGTTTGTCAGGGTGATGTATGATCTAGAAGGGCATAAAACATCCTTCAGCGGATTTTCCATAGCACTCTTTGAAGGTGCAGTTAAGCTGCTTCCATATCATTTGCCATACATTTTGATCCCATTTGTTGGCACCTATGATGAGATGGTGGTTGCAGTTTATAATAAGGTAAAATGGTCACCAGATCATGGTTTCTTAAGCTACTTCGAAGATCAGAAGGAGAACGAGACTAGAAAAAAATACCAACACAGCTAAGATATTAAGTTCAATTTACTGGCCAGGAGTTGAGCAACCAGTTCCGAGAGGCTGGAAACTAAGAATTGGTGTTCCTGCTAGGGAGCTTGTCATCAGTTTGTCAGGGTGATGTATGATCAAGAAGGGCATAAAACATCCTTCAGCGGATTTTCCATAGCACTCTTTGAAGGTGCAGTTAAGCTGCTTCCATATCATTTGCCATACATTTTGATCCCATTTGTTGGCACCTATGATGAGATGGTGGTTGCAGTTTATAATAAGGTAATTATTGTTAGTCCTCTCTTGACTTGGCATCATAAACCTACACATCACTCATACTTCTATCCTGCGCTTTTGTTGTCATGATGCTAAAACTACAATTTTATAATTAGAGTTTGGATGCAGCAGTTGGAGATACGAACATATTGGATCATTGATACGAACATATTGATTTTCAACTAGTTATGGTTGTAACTGCAAAACAAGATTTGACAAAGCGAAAAATTCATTTTAGTGAAGGCAATTGAATGGAAATTGTGGGTTGTGATGGCAGGGATAAGCCTATCCACGAGAATCATAATCTATTTGAATGAGCATGTGAACCAGAATCCAGAGTTTCCAGGTCCATTTCCTCAGAGAATTGGTTCCATGATTTGGTTTTCTTTTACTCTTCTACCATTTGCAAAAAGTAAGTCTCCACTAGAAAATGACATTTTGAAGTCTTCCTTTCTTCTTTGCATTCTTACAAATTGATAAATTTTTAACACGCAGAAGAATATATCGAGAGTAAGATATCGCAATTAGTGCTAGCATTATGGTTGTTTGTGATTGTAGTTGTAACAGAATCGTATACTGCTGTTCTAAGTTTTATGATGACGGTGCCAATGCTGCAACCATCCATACCGGAGGTGGATTATCTGCAGAAAACTAATGCAACTGTTGGATGCAATGGACAGGGTTTCATTGTGACTTATCTAGTGAATACTTTGAAATTCAGGCAAGAGAACATCAAGAAAATCAACTGTATCAGCCAATATGCTGAAGATTTTGAAAAGGGACACATTGCCGCAGCATTCTTTATCAGTCCACATGCCAAAGTTTTCCTTGCAGAAAATAGCAAACGCTACATTATGGCGAAGCCCGTCTGTTAATGTTATATCATGGCAAAGTTTTCCTTGCAGAAATAGTCCATCTTTTACATTTTTAGCAAGTCGCTTGTTGATTAATGTTATAGTTTTGCTACACAAACAGGCTCAACGATAGGGATTTAAACTGATGCATACTTAGTGCCTGTCTGTTTCCAATTTTTGGTTGACAAGAATGAATTTTGTGAACATTTTTTGGAGGATACGGGTCCCACTAAAAGATAGGAAGTCAAATATTTCATCTGTCTCCTCTTGCAATGGTTTGAAAAACATTAAAATAAGGCCAAAAATTTCCTCGAGATGAGCACTTAGCACATTTTCTTTGACGGTTAAAGGAAAAAAAAAGACAAAAACTGCCAACTTAGGGCTACCATTTCAACCCCTGGAGACACAGCCTATCACTGAGGCTGTTCAAACAACATTATTCTTAATGTTGCCTTTGTTAAGGGAATATAATCCCTCATCGGTAAAATATCGAAACAATGACCAATATATAAAGAATTGGGACACTCCTCTTAATAAGGTAGACCTTATTAAGATGGACCCCACGTCTTAACATGGTATCAGAGGCCATTAACCTCCAACGAGCAATTCGATCGGATTAAGTCTCTAAAAATGAGCACACGAATTTCAAGATTGGTCTGTTCAAAACAAGCCACCATCTTGCGGGGACGTGTTAAGGAAATATAATTCCATATCGGTAAAATACCGAAACAATGATCAATATATAAAGGATTGGGACACTCCTCTTAATAAGGTTGATCTTATTAAGATGGACCCCAAGTCTTAACAGCCTTGTTGGTAATAGTAGTGCATTATGGTTTTCTTATAGGTATTCGAGAAAAATTCTCCTTTGACTGCAGATGTATCGAAAATAGTTCTTAACTTGAAACAAAATGGAGAAATAAATCAACCTGAAGAGCGTATTCTTTCCATGAATGGCTCCGCATCGTCGACCGAAGAAGTTGATGACCAAAGTTTAGGCATTGCTCATTTTTCCGGTACATTAATAGTTTCAAGTGTGATTTCTGCAATTGTGCTATTCATCAAAATTGTTTGCGTAATTGGTAAACGATTGTCCATTCGTAACTTTATTCAATCTTCCGTAACGCTAAGAAGGATCTATGGATGAGCAACATTACTTTTATCTGAAAGCGATCCTAGATTTTGGTCAAGATTCTTTAGAGCGTCCATTTTCTGAAGACAAAATAATAATTAAGGGAGTAAAGAGAAAGTGTGCAATAGAGAAGCTTGCGTTATATTTCTCCTTTGTATAATTACAAAAGGCAATCCTCTTACAGTCTGTCCTTAATTTGTAATGATGTAATTTGATAAAGACTAACCCAACAAATTATTGCTATTATTTTCTTATCGGGGTATGGCCTACTAGCTCTTGATACTCTCAACTCATCACATCATGTGGTTGAAAATGGTCCGAAGGGTGGCAACAAACACGCACAAACCATTTCCCAAAGTATGTGTCCGAATAGTTTAAAGCATTGATAGTTAGCTTTTTGAAGCGTTTAGTCGCACAATTGAAAAATAGCCCACAAATTCAAGGGAGTGATTAGATAATTGTACTACCAAAAGCTTTGGGGAAGTCGGGCTTTAGGTCAACCTATATCTATATTGGTGACAAATTCATGATCTAGATGTGAATGAGTCGAATTTTGATTGTTCTTTAAAAAGTTGTAAAACAGTTCGATTCCTATATATCTGGCAAAGGAAAACTGCGAGGAGTCAACCGTCTCCGTCGCAGGAGCTCTTGGGAGTCAACAACCTATTATCCTATAACTTTTTTTACAGGTCAAATTTATCAACAATTAAAAAATAAAAAAATCTCGTAAAAGTGAAGGAAAAGTTTTGATTTTCTCTGTTACTTACAGCCGCTATGTATGAGGAGTCCAAAACAAAACCTTCGAAGAATCGAACAGAGACAGAGATCCAATAAGCGGACTAATATATCGCTTCATTGTCCAAAAAATTACTCGTATAAATTCTGTTTGAAACTAATTTTTCATTAATCTTCGTATTTCTCAAAAATGATATCCCGAAATTCATTGAGAAAATCAACTAGCTTTCCAAATTAAAAAGGAAATCTCACACTTTTTCTTCAGAATGCCTTCATTTAATCCCGCGTCAAAGGCGTTTACGCGCTTGTTTTCGTGTCGGGATTTATTCCGGCGGCGGATAATAAAGTATAGTGATTTCAATCAGATTAGGTACCTGAGTACAATTGGTGGGTCAAATGCATTTTCTTCAGACAATAAATCAGCGGTCACTGGATACTGGAATTATAATTTACGGGATTCGGGAATTTTTCCTAATAATCATAATGTTATTGTCCAGAAAAGAGGATTTTTGGGGTGTGGTGATGGCGAAGAGGGGAATATGTTAGCTAAGGTACACGAAGAGAGACGTGTTTTGGGGTATACTTAGCACTTCTCATTTTTATTATTCTGTTGTGCCCAATTATGTTTATTTCCTGTATACGTATGGGTGTGTTTCTTTTTCTGAGCGTTTCGTGATAATTTATTTTATATGCATCGAAAAATATGTGAATTCTGAATTGTTACTAAGATTAAATATTTGGATAGCTTAAATGAATGATGAAGTAATTGCATTTTCTTTTAATTTACATCTCTCGCACGATGATATGCATTTCAGTTTGGAAAACCAGTTGTCCATTTGTTTGCACAGCACAGATTATGAACCTTGCTTGATACATTTTGGTATACAAATCGATAGGGGTTAGTGGTGGATATACAACTTTGCATCTCAAAATGTATGTTACAATGTTCTAGAGTTCTAGATTATCCTCTATTGATTTGCCATTTGTGAGTGGTTTTAAAATCCAGTTCTATTTAGAAGGGTGAACCCTAGAGAAGGTAGATTTTTTTAATTTTTTTTTTAAATTTTTCCTCAGAATTACTACTGGGGCAATGGAGCACAATGTATGAAGTTCGAATTTTTCCTGCCCTTTTCTTCATTTTGCCTTGGTAAACTGGTGGACAAAAAAAGTCAACTTCCATACACAAATATATATATACATATCTGTGCCAAATTTTATTGTCTGGCTCGCACAAACTAGAAACAAAATCCCGAGCTCAACCCCCGAATAGAATGGGGGATCTAGGTGAGATGAAGCTATGAAGCACACAATTGCAAAAGATTTTTGACTAAATTGAGTTAATACATCATTTAGAAATAAAAAATCATTTTCTGTGAACCTTCGATGCTGTTTCTTGATCAGTAGGTTATTATTCTAACTATTTCACAAATCTTAGACTTCAAATGCAACTTTTATGTTTTTCTTTTGGTTGCTAGATGAACTGACT